TGGGAGCCTTCTTGAAATCTAGGTTCCCAGTTGCCAGCCAAAGACCAACCATTTTTCTTCCCAAAGGTCAAATTTATATGCAGACTTTTCTAAGGTTAAGCAGTCAGGTCTGCTATGTTACCTCTCTTTTGTACACTAGCCAACATGCAATGGTAATATAGGGACAGAATAACTATAACAACTACTCCCATTCAAAAAAGTGGAGGGGAGAGGGATGAAAGGCGGGTAGCAGTCACTGGTTCACAGCAGTTCTGAAATCCATCCAAGCATATGTTTTAATTCCTTGACTAAGGCCTGGTCCTGCTTAGAAGTGTTTCTCTGTAATTCTTGGCTTTTCCCTCTGGGTTCTTGGCTCTGTGGTCAGTCATTATTCCTTTTGTATAAGAAATAGCCTATGTTTGCAAATGGGTTGCTCTCTCAGTCATCTTCCTGTTCCTATAACGTTGCTGTCCCTCCCCCAGGCCACTTTTCATTCTGAACTATGTTTTTTTCTGTCCAAGTTGGTGGTGCTTCTACCAATATCATTTTCTTAACAACATTGTGGGTTTTCTATTAAATGCACTCCACCACCAGTTAAGTTGCTCAGTCACGTCAGACTCTTTGGGATCCCATGGACTGTGGCCTACCAGGCTCCTCCATCCATGGACTTTTCCAGGCAAGAGTACTGGAGTAGGTTGCCATTTTCTTCTCCAGGGGATCTTCCCAACCCAGGGATTAAACCCAGGTCTCCTGCATTGCAGGCTTTACGGTCTGAGCCACAGGGAAGCCCACTAAATGCACTGAAGTCTCTTAAATATAATCCCCTCTCTTCCTTAGTCTTAGAGTCAAGATGCTCTGAGATAATGCTCTTTAAAGTCTTAAAGCTTTTTTTTTTGTCTAATTGGGAGTATCTGTGAAGCATACCTTTCAATCTTGCATTGGATTCTTGAACTGAAAAAAATCCTGAGATGATTTTTACCTCTACTTTTCTTAAAGTGTGCTGGATTTAATCTTTGCTCTTAGGCTATGTCCTGCTTTGAAGGTCTTTTACCAGGAGAAACTGGGATTTAGAAACAGTTTTATCTTTGAACCCAGCATATCTTGGCTTTGTTACAGTCCCTCTAAATGCAGCTTCCAAATTGAACAATTCCATCTTTAGTTCAACTCCCTTCATGTATTTTATCTTAAGCCAAATTGAAGAAGCCAGTTGGCAATTTCAGCATTATGACTGAAAATCTCCTTAGCCAGATCCATAAGATCATTAAATATCCATACTGTTTTTCATTAGATACTCTATGTTTTACATTGTGTCAGTTAACAGTGTTGCCAAACTTTTTGCTAGCTATAATAACCTTTTGTCCAACACTATTAGTTTGCTAGTGGTGCCATGGTAAAGTACTACAAACTGGTGGCTTAAATAAAGGAAATTTATTATCTCATGTTTCTGGAGGCTAGAAACACAAGATCAAGCTAACAGCAGGGTTGGTCCTTTCAAAAAGTTATGAGGGGGAATTTCTTGGTGGTCCAGTGGTTAAGACTCCATGCTTATTAGAGGATCCTCTGTGAGGACCAGAGGAAACTAACCAGGGATCACAAAAGAAAGCTGGTGAAGAAGTCTATGGAAGGCTGTAGCCTCTGCAACCAGAAATGGGCCTGAAACTGATAGTCATCACAGCTAACAGGAAGACAACTTGGACTGAACTCAGAGAAAGTGAGGGCAAACTAGAATTCATAAGGGCAAACCGGAACCGATGAGGTCAGAACAGAACCCACAGCTATCTCTCACATTGATGATGCAGGCGGCTTGCCCAAGAAGTTAATGCCTTTACCACAGAACTACATGTGTGCCTTGCCTCAGAGGCTTGTTGTTCAGTTGCTCAGTCATGTCCATGTAACCCCATGGACTGTAGAATACCAGGCTTCCCTGTCCTTCACTGTCTCCCAGAGTTTGCTCAAACTCATCTCCATTGAGTTGATGATGCCATCCAACCATTTTATCCTCTGTCGCCCCTTTCTCCTCATGCCCTCAGTCTTTCCCAGCATCAGGGTCTTTTCCCATGAATCGGCTTTTTACATTGGATGGTCGCAGAGGCTAGGAGAAGCTGAAATAGGCGATGTGGTGGGAGGTGGAGGAGCTGGGGACCAGTATCTGCTCTGCACCAACAGGGTGGCAGCAGGTCAGTAAAAAGTTTCCAGGCTGCAGCTGGTACTTGGCATCAGCCATGGAGCACTACCACTCTGCTTCACTTGCTCCTTTCAAATCTTACCCAGATTTCTCTTGTGATCAGTCCTGTCCTGGGACCAGACTGGGAAAGGAAATTTGGGGAACTGAATTTCAGTTAAATTGACAGAGCAGAAAACCACCACAAGAGCCAAATATCAACAGTTGTCAGTTACCAGGGTGCTGTGTCTCATATATACTGATGTCTCATTTAAGCCTTATAGCAGTTTTGCAAGATAAAGATTAGCCTTCCCATTTTACATATGAAGAAATGAAGCTTCATATTTGCCCACACGTGAGCAAATGGAGGAGTTTGGATTCTACCCTACATCTGTGTGGTCGCCAACTTCCAACATGGGCCCCAATGATTCTTGCTTTTTGATTGTTGTTTAGTTACTAAGCCATGTCTTTTGTGACCCCCATGGACTGTAGCCCACCACCCTCCTCTGTCCATGGGATTTCTCAGGCAAGCATACTGCAGTGGGTTGCCATTTCCTTCTCTAGAGGATCTTCCAGACTCAGGGATTGTACCCACATCTCCTGCATTGGCAGATGGATTCTTTACCACTGAGCCACCTGGGAAACCCTGCCTTCTGATCCTCATGCTCCTTTGTAGTTCCCCTCCCACCTTAAATAGGTCTGACCTGAGTAATCAGTAGAATATTACAGTGATGATATGTGACTTCTGAGGCAGGATCATAAAAGACATTACAGCTTCCACCTTTTTCTTGGATCACCTGCTCTGGGAAAAGCCAGCTGACATGTTGTGAGGACATCCAAATAGCCATAGGCAAACTCATATAGGGAGGAACTGAGATCTTTTGTGAACACATCCATGTGGGTGAAACAATGTGCAAGTAATTTTTACAGCACCAGCCTCCCCTTCAGATGACTACAGTCCCATATTCTGACTGAAACCTCTCAAGAGTCCTCAAGTCAGAACTATAGGACTAAATGGCTTCTAAATTTCAGGAATTGATGAAAATATGAGATTATGTTTATTACTGTTTTAAACTGCCTACTTTTGGGTTAACTGGTGATGCAGCAGTAGATATAATTTGCTAGGTTCCAAAGCACAGTTCCTGTGACATTATTTTGCTTTAAAATTTGTTCAGATTATGAGACTGGGGATTGTGGAAGAAGTCAGAATTTGAAAGTTCATAATGTGCTGGTCGTGTGACGCCCCACACCCCAGCAAAAACTTTGAAACATCTTTCTGGTGCTTCCAGATACAGAGAGAGAAGGAGGAGTGTCATCTAGTGGTTAATCTGAACCTTGAGAATTAGGAGGGTTTCTTTTTTTTGTCACTACCCAGGGAAAGCTGAGTTGAGTGAAGAAATTAGAGGTTAAATCATGTGTTTTTGTTGACTGGAAGACTTGACCTGGAGTAGGGAAGATCACTGATGGAGACTGGATTCTAGCAGAGAAAGCAAAATCCTGACAAATGGAGAAGCAGGGACTAGAGGGCCCTCCAGTGAGAGACTGACAGTCCCTCTGCTTCTGCCTCTTCCCTTCAACAGGGTTATCCCTTCCTCTGCTCCACCAAGTTCCCTTTGGCCTCAAGCTCACTGAAGTAGCTCCTTCCTTTTCTGCTCTCTCCAAATCCCCCTTGCTTATGATGCCCTTTTCCTTTTAACAAAGTGCATATACATGCATTTAGGAACATAAAAGAGGAAAACAAAACCATCTGAGAACCATTTCCCTTTGAAAATTCTTGGTAATTGTCTTTCTCTCCTTTTTGTCCAGATTTGGTCTTGGATCGGAGATGCAGGGCACTGTGCCTGGTGACTTAATCAGACTGGAGTCAGCCAGCAGTAGTTATAGTCTTAAGATGTTAACACTAGCAGAACATCTGGAGCAACCATGCTCATTTCATATGTGGAAAATTTGAAGCCCAAAGAGCTGAAGTGGTCACTGTTAACAGATATCAAATGAACATCTACAAAGAGGAGGACATTCTTCTGGGCATGGATAGGTTCTTTTAAATGGTCCACCCATTCTGATTCGTAAGATGGGTGGAGAGATTTGCTGGGGTCCTTCCAGATCTCATATTATACAAGCACAGAAATATCAGGAAACAGCACGTCAAATCCTAAGTTGTGAACTGACCCTAAACAGCTGAGAGTTAGAAAGAAAATGTTGCCTGACCCTCTGACTTCTAAACCCACCTTAAACCTCGACTCTGAGCCCCCAGAGTCCACTACACAGTAGACGCCAAGAAACGGTTTCCGAAATGAATGAACCAATTTCCCTGGAGGTCCTTCCCTGCTTCCCCTCCGGCTCCATGTCCTCTCCCACTAGGACCTGTGCCAGCATTTGAGCCCCTGCCCGGGAATTTTTGGGGATCTTGTCTGGCCTCCTTGGACTGTGAGCCCTTTCGGGTCTGGACCAGGGCTCCCTTTTCGCTGCGGGATGCGTACTGAAGCCGAGGGGGCTGCTCACCTCTACTCGCATATTTTTCCTCGGGATAGGGGCTCTTGTTTGGAAGATATGCAAGTACCGAAAGTGGCCTGACCTGGTTTTGGAAGCACTAGGGGAGTGCGTGGTGTCGTCTGTCTTCCTAGCCGGGAAACAAGGCCGGGCGTCCACACCCGCATGGATAGGCAGACCACGCGACTCCGTGCCCCGCCTGCGGAGCGCGGTTCCCCGGCGGGCGCCGAGTGGGCGGGGCCTTTCGGGGCGGGGCCCGGCGAGGTCACGTGACCGCTCGGCCGGCAGGGGAGGCAGAGGCAGAGGGGCGTCAGACGCACCGAGTAGCTGGCGGGGCAGTCGCGACAGCCGGAGGAGCAGCGCCGCAGCCATGGGGAGCTTGAAGGATGAGCTGCTCAAGGGCATCTGGCATGCTTTCACCGCGCTCGACCTGGACCACAGTGGCAAGGTCTCCAAATCCCAACTCAAGGTGGGCACACCCTCTCCCGGACCCCCATTCGCCCCTCCCAGGCGCGCGCTCTACTATCCCCGGGTGGAAGCGGGCAGGCGGAGGGTGACCACGGGGAGTGGCAGGCCAGAATGTGGCCGAGCGGCCTGCTTGGGGTGGAGGGGGCAGAGACCGGCATTTGGCATTTTTTTGCCTCCTCCTTGTTTTGCGTTAGTTTCCCCATGGCTCACCTTGAGCAGGGGACCGCGGGGGTGGGGACCCTGAGCGGCGAGCTCGGCTCCCTGTTGGCGCAGGAGGCCGGGAAAGTTTCAGACTCCGCGAGGGCGGTGGGAAGCTCCCTAGGAAACTAATCCAAAGTTTCCTCCTTACTCTGGGAGAGGAAGGGGCTTGCCCAAGGTGACTGGTCAGAGCCCTTCAAGGCGCACGCTCCGCACCGGGGCAGTCCTCAAAACGGCCAGCCGCACCGCTGGCAACCGGGCAGTTCCGAGAAGGGAGGGAGAAGTGCGCCAGCGCCCGGCCCTCGGCGGCCTCCCCTTTTGGGGCGCTGTGGCAATGGGGGACGCTTTCCGATTAGTGAGGAAGACCTGGCGTCCTCAAGTCTGGATCGAGTCCAGAATGTGCCGAGTCCAGGGTGTGCCGTGTCCCGCAGGAACTTAGTTTCCGGGTGAGGCGCTCTATCTGGCACCCTACAAAATCTTTATTGCGACTGCCAAAGACCCCATCATTAAGAGAGAGTAAGGTATGAATAAAGGAACGCTTGTAAATTGAGTAACCTCAAGCAGGGCAAGTGGCACTTGGCCAGGAGAAATTGGCAGCTTCTTGAAAGTTAAAAAGTATGGAAACAGACAAGAAGAACCATTCATAGGCATTTTAAAATATACACATTTTGGATATGAATGTCTCGTTATCTTAGCCTCTTCTGGGAGTGAATTTCTGAAGATTGAGTTTGCTCTGTATATTTTGTGCAGTCATCAAGAGGTTCTTATGACTAGTGGCTTTTGTGCCAGTAGGACTTAGCATTCTGCCTGTTTTCCTTTCACCCTACTCTTTTTTTCTTATACACAAAATCATAGTCTGGAACAATTCATGGAGATCATCCAGTTAATCTTTATTTGAATAAATTTTTAAAATTAGCAGAGTAAAATTAACTCTTGGTGGATGGTTCTGGGTTTTAAAAATACATGGTGGTGGTGGAGTCGCCCAGTTGTGTCTGACTCTTTGCAACCCCATGGACTGTGGCCCACCAGACTCCTCTGTCCATGGGATTTTCCAGGCAAGAGTACTGGAGTGGGCTGGATTTGTATAACTACTACTAAAATTGGGTTTCTGTCAGTTACATCATCCCCAAAATTTCCTTCATGCTTCTCCCTCTTCCCTAACTGCTGGCAATCAACGATCTGTTCTTAATTGCTATAGTTTTGTCTTTTCCACCGTGTCATAAAAATGGAGTCATAGAGTATGTAACCTTTTGACATTGGCTTCTTTTATTTAGCATATATGCCTTTGAGATTCACTTATGTTGTTGTATCCATAATTCTTTTTGTTGCTAAGCCGTATTCCACTGTATGGATATACCATGGTTAAGCCATAAAGAATATTTGTGTTATTTCCAGTTTTTGGTAGTTATGAACAGAGTTGAATTTTACTCTTCACTGTTTTTGCTTTCAATTTACCTATACCACCATGTTTAAAGTGAGTTTCTTTAGATGACATGTAGTTGGTTCTTGGTTTTTTAATCCATTTTGATAATCTGTAATTAAATTGGTGTGTATGGACCAATTACATTTAACTATTGATGTGGTTCAGTTTAGGGCTAGCATTTTACTATTTGGTTTCTGTTTGTTTCCACTATTGTTTTCATTTTTTTGTCTTTCAGTTGGTGGCATTAATGAAATGTTTCCTGTTACTTTTGTTGTATACCATTCAGCCTTGTCTTTGTGGTTACTTATGGAAAAGGTGTCTGGAGGACTCTTGACTGCAGACTTGGTGTGTGTGTATGCTAGGTCACTTCCATCATGTTGACTCTTGACCTCATGGACTGTAGCCCGATAGGCTACAGCCCCTCTCTCCATGGGATTCTCCAGGCAAGAATACTGGAGTAGGTTGCCATGCCCTCCTCCAGGGAATCTTCCCAGTCCAGGAATGGAACCCACTTTTATTACATCTGCTGCATTGGCAGGTCAAGTTCTTAACCCCTGGTGCCACATGGGAAGCCTAGGCAGGAAGTAAATCCCGGTTCATAGCTTTTACCCACAAGATGTTGATAATGCAAATGTGCAGTTGTATTTTGTTGCTTTGTCAGCTTAACTGAGAGATTTGGTGTTTGATTCAGTTCTGTTCATCTTGCCAATGTGTCTGGAATTGGAAATATTAGAAAATTGCTATTTAGTTCTCTCCTTTTTGGAGTTTAGACTCTGTAGGTTGACTCTGGTGGGCTACAGTCCATGGGCTCGCAAAAGAATCAGTTATCCATTGGCTAGGAAGAATTTTTGCCTGAATTTGCTCATTCATTTGTTTTTAAATGACATTTGTGTATACTCTGTGTAAGGTATCATGGTAATGTCATTAAAAAATTAGTATTTTTAGGCTCTTTAAGAGTTATATCTTGGAGGACATATAGAATTGATTTATTAAATAGAAAAAAATTACACATCCAAAATGAGGCTAAAATTTATCACTTTGGAAAACTGTATGGGCATTCTAAAATAATTTTGACGCTTATCTTTTTGAACTACCTTCACAGTTTTTGACGTGAGTGGTGACATTTCATGTGTTATTAGATACTGTGGCTAATTCTAAGGGTAATATGGATAGCTCAGGTGGAGGAGAAAGAAACATCAGTTTTTTCTTTTAAAGAGTTTAAATTTTGGTAGGCAAACTAAAAACTTAGGCAGCCATTAGGGAAATCTCTCTCTCTGTCTTTCCGGGTATATATGTAGATTATATTACTCAGAGGGTTACCCTATCCTTAAAAAATGTAAGATCTGAAAAAAAAAAAAAGTAAGATCTGGTGACAGAGATAAGAACTACAGAAATACTATTGAGAGGAAGATGCTGAATGTGATAGAAGATAAGAGGCCATGAGATTTTAGAGGAAGAGACCAGTAGTTTTTACTGGTGAAATTACTTCATGAAGAAAAACTTTGACGTGACCTCTGAAGAAAGCTAGGGTGTGATTAGGTGGAATGGGGGAGAATCAAGCCCATTCTATTAATTCATTCAGCAGATAGCCTGGTGACTCAGTGGTAAAGAATCTGCCTGCCAATGCAGGAGACAGTGTTCAATCCCCTGGAGAAGGAAATGGCAATCCACTCCAGTATTCTTGCCTGGGAAATCCCATGGACAGAGGAGTCTGGTGGGCTACAGTCCATGGGGTCACAAAAGAATCAGACATGACTTAGCAGCTAAACAACAACAACATTAATTCATTTATTTATTTATTCTTTCAATGGATATTTATTGACTGCTTTTAGCTCTAAGGGATCCATATGAACTACTGCAGGCCACAGAAATTCATCAGGCATTTATGTATAGAGACTTCTGTGTGACTTATTTTGATTGGAGTGTAGGATATGAGTGTGTTTGTGTGTAGGTAGAAGAAAGAGTTTTTGAGGTCCATGATGGCTGGATGTTTAGCTGGAGGTGATGTTCTTGGAGAAGTGCGGGGCTGCTGGTACAGATCTAGTAGTTGAAGCATGGGAAGAGGAGAGAAATTCAACCATGGCCTTGGAGAACGGCTAGAGTAGATGGAAGAAAAGAAGCCAGGGGACCAGAAGTGAGATGTAAGGACCACTTTGGGACAACATTGATGCTGAGGGAGAAGGGGTTTTTCAAAGAAGACGTAGTCTGTTATCTTTGAGAATTTATTATTATGTATATATATTTGGAGATTGTAAAATAATGACTGATTTTTCCCAGCTGTAGGTCATAAACTACATATTTCTTCTTTTCTGAAGGGAAGTTGTGAAGTTTTCCTTCTTTCTTAAAAATAATTTTATGTATTTATTTTTGACTGTTCTGGGTCTTCACTCCCATGTGGGCTTTTCTCTGGTTGCTGCGAGTGGGGGCTGCTCTTCGTTATGGCATGCAGGCTTCTCATTGCAGTGGTTTCCCGTGTTGTGGAGCACAGGCCCTAGGGGGTGTGGACTTCAGTAGTAGTGGCCCTGGGGCTCTAGGGCCCAGGCTCAGTAATTGTGGCTCTTGGGCTTAGCTGCTGTGCGGCATGTGGGCTCTTCCTGAATCAGGGATCGAACCCGTTGTCTCCTGCATTGGCAGGTGGACTCTCTACCACTGAGCCACCAGGGAAGCCTGAGTTGTGAAAAGTTTGGAGTATTGGCATTATCTTGGGAATAAAGTCATCTTTTACTTCTAAGGAGATTACTTTGTAGTATAGTTCTCATTTAGATAAATGTGTTTGGGTCTCTGCTATAATTAATAAGTGGTTTACTTGAGGGACCCCAGTTTAGTACAAAAAGCTTATTTTTTTTTAATTTATTTTTTTATTGAAGGGTAATTGCTTTACAGAATTTTGTTGTTTTCTGTCAAACCTCAACATGAATCATCCATAGGTATACATATATCCTCTCCCTTTTTAACCTCCCTTCCATCTCCCCCGCCATCCCACCCCTCTAGATTGATACAGAGCCCCTGTTTGAGTTTCCTGAGCCAGACAGCAAATTCCTGTTGGCTGTGTATTTTGCATATGGTAATGTAAGTTTTCATGTTACTCTTTCCATACATCTCACCTTCTCCTCCCCTCTCCCCGTGTCCATAAGTCTATTCTCTAGGTCTGTTTCTCCATTGCTGCCCTGTAAATAAATTCTTAGTACCATTTTTCTAGATTCTGTATATATGCATTAGAATATGATATTTATCTTTCTCTTTCTGACTTACTTCACTCTGTATGATAGCTTCTAGATTCATCACCCTCATCAGAATTGACTCAAATGTGTTCCTTTTTATGTCTGAGTAATATTCCAGTGTGTATATGTACCACAACTTCTTTATCCATTCATCTGTCG